GAGCAAGGGAATACATCCAGAATTCACCTTGATGGTCTGGCAAAACCATCAAGATGAAAACAATCTGACCCATCCAGGTTTTCTTTCTTGTGAATTTTAACTGTTTTGTACCTTCCCATCAGACTATCAATATGTTTAAATATATTTAATTTTTAAGAACAACTTAATTGGGACTGGAGAGGTGACTCAGTGATTAAAAGCAAGGGCTGCTTTTCCAGAGGACCCAGCACCCGCATGACTGTAACTCTGGTTCCAGGAGATCTGACACCCTTATACAGATATACTCACAGGTGAAACACTAATGTACATTAAATTAAAAAAAATCATAAAAAAGAAAGAACAACTTAATAATATTTTCAGTATAAGGAGGACTGTGATGGATTAAAGTGCTAAGTCAGTGGTTCTCATTTAATTTGTTGGGCCTTAACATTAAGAAGTTGTTTTCCTGGTGTGGTTGGTGCACACCTTTAATCCCAGCACCCAGAAGGCAGAGAAGGGCAAGAGAATCTCTGTGAGTTCGAGGCCAGCCTGGTCTACAAAGAGAAATGCAAGACAGAGACATGGTGTTACACAGAAAAATCCTGTCTCAAAAACAAACAAACAAACAAACAAAAAAAAAACACAAGGGAAAAAATTGTTTTCATTCTTACTATTTTTTAAACTGTGATTTTGCTGATTTGGCCAAGCCAGTCTCAAACTTTTGATCTCCTGCATGAGCTCCTGAGAGCTGGGATGTGTGTGAGAAGTTGCACATTTTGATATATACACAGGCTTCCTTTTCTTCTGCAGTTAGCCATTGTTGGTCTTGTCAAAGAAGGCTTCACTAACTCTCAATCTCCCACCGGCATGAGCATATGAAGACTTCCTCTGATATTTTCTCTAATACACATAAATATATGCATTCATATATATGGGGGGATTTGGTTTGACTCTCGTGACTTACACAATCAGGGAGCATGGATCAAATGTGATTTTGATTTGTTTTAGGTATGACTATATTTTTGAAACTATGTATATGCTTATATATTGCTCATATATATTTCACATATAGAGATTTTTATTTTATTGGAAAAGTCTAAAACATTATGTAGAATTTACACCAAAACCTCAAACCTGTATATCAATCGAGGATCCCTCAGCTGTTTGCTATTTTTAATCTCTTGTTTATACCTGAAGTTCATATTGCAGTTTCTATTCTGTATAATCTCTCTCTCTCTCTCTCTCTCTCTCTCTCTCTCTCTCTCTCTCAACACTAATGAAAATGGCTGTTTCATTAATGAAACTACACATGTTAAAGGATAGGGAATCAAAAACACAGGGTCCGTCTTGAGAGCAGAAATGAAAACACTTCATGCTTTCATGCCTAATTGCTCTTATGTTAACTCAAGGCCCAGAGAGTCACGAAGTTCTCAGAATCCATCTGTGCCAGGCCCACAGCAAGCACTGGACCGTGGAATTGGGTTTTATTGATTAATTCATGGCTGTGTACAAGCATGAAGTGTGCAGAGCCTTGGCTGAGGAAGCTTCCGGCAAATACAACCTAGATAGCCCCAAGAGAGGGGATATGAGTGAGGCTGTGTGGGAGAAGGGTGATCCTAAAAGGCACACTCATCACTGAAGGAGTGGGGCCCACCCCAGGCACCGAGGACAGGACTTTATTCATCATCAGAGTCTTCCTTGTGCGTTAGCTGTTCCTGTTTAGGAATGTGGGGCTGTTCTTAGGTCATGATGCAATGTATTCAATAGAAGAGTCTGTGAGGTGTAGAGATAGAAACAGGTAGACAGTTGTCCTGAGCTCACATGGCCTCTGCTGTACTTGTGTCTGAGATCCTGTGACCGGTCATTCACAGGACCAGAGCTTTGGTCATGGTCACAGACAACTCTCAGCTTTTACTCTTTGCTTCGATATATCCTTGGGACTATGAGAGGAGCTGGGAGACACAATTGGCAGGATGGGGCAGGGTCTTTGACTGGGTGAGCACATGTGAGGCTGGCCTGTACACCCACCTGGCAATTCTCCTCAGCTGTCTAAGCATGCACTGATGTTTAGAGTAGCCAGGGGTTGATCCATTTCAACCAGTGTCAACCTCAGCCCTCCCCTTTCCTGAGTGAACCAAGGGCCTCCAGGCGAAACTGAAGCCCCTGAGATCAAGACCTTAACCTAGCAGTCTTCAGAAATTCCTGAAGGACTGGCCTAGGTAAGAAATGCTCACCACGACTGGTCTGCGTAAGACCAAAGTAGAACCCAAAGGATAGGGAAGAAGCTTGCACAGAGCTAAGAGTCCAGTTCAAAAATCTGAGTCCTGAGGGGCTTCTTTCGAAAAGCATAAGTGAGGAAATGGATCAGCTCAGTGTGGTAAATTAGATGTGGACTTGGAAAACTGGGGAAACAGAAGGGACGGGCCCTCAGAACATCACGTACTGAGTTCACACATGCTTAGTATCGGTCACACGAGTACTTGAAGCCCTTCACACAAAGTTAGCATTTCGAGAAGGAGGGCACTCACACCCAACCCCTGAGTGGAACACTTCAAAATGAGGAGCTTGAGGTGAGGATTTGAGGGCGACCTCCTGGGAGGATGGGAAGGCTGTGAAGAGGGGGATGAGGGCAGGGCGTGGGGAATGGAGATATGTTGTGTCTCAAGGCCCCACGGCCTTGAAAGTGGGAATTGTACCATGTAGACTGTCCACTTAGAGGTGAGTGTCCCACTGAGCCACCTCAACCCACACTACCCAGTCCACCAAAGGGAGTGGAGGTGAGGTGGGAAGTTTCCCAGGCATATGTAAGCAAGTGGAGACCTCTGACCCTGACAGCAGGGGCAGACACGTATAGAGCATGTCTTGGGGGTCTCTGAGTGACAGGAGATAAAGAACTAGTTTCTGAATGCAACTGCTTGGGGGAGGGTCTACACAGTCTCCTCTGAGAGGAACAAAGAGAGATAGGAACAGCCCCAGCCCACAACAGCACTAGGGTCCTTGTGGGCTCTCCTCAGGAATGACAGGATCCAGACCCTCTTTGGTAAGACCGCCTCAGGGACCAGGATCTCTCCTGACAGATCCCATAGCGACTTTGATTGAATGACGTCCCCGAGGCTTAGGTTATGTGTTATTCCCGATGCCTGCAGCAGTTGGCCATGGTCTTGGGGGCAAAGGTGACCTTGCACACTTACTGGCAGAATGTTCCCCACAAGTCCCACTTTCCTTCCTTTCTTTGTCTGTGTGCTTTGAAATCACTCTGCAGGAGCTCCAGTGGGCTGGGGTGGGGGCTACGATGAGTGAAATAGCAGCCTGTCTTCCCTTGGCTGATGGCTCTTTAGGGAATTTGTGGTCTTGATAAATGGGAAAGAGGCTGCAGGGGAGGAGTCAGGTACCCCCACCCCAAACCCCAGGGGTGACAACTCCTGATCCAGTCAGGGAAGGCAAGTTTTGTTTTTTGTTTTGTTTTGTTTTGTTTTGTTTTTTAAATGTAGACACCTGGAAAGATGAACAAAAAGCCACTTTCTTATTGTTGGTGCCAGAAAAGGGCAGCCTCTGAGAGGATGCTGCGTTCTTCAGCTCTTATTTAAAATTCCGCAGTCGGCCCCTATGAATAGGTCCGGTCTTGGCAGAAGCTCAAAGGAACGAGGCAGGAGAGTGGCTGAGCACGTTTGCCTCTTCTCCAGAAGGTCTGTGGAGCTCCATGGGAGTCAAGTGCTTGGAAACAGAAACCTGTACAGGGAGGAGGATCCCACAAGTATCTGCAAACAGTGCAAAGAGCTTTCAAACCAGTTTAAGGCATGTGGCAGTGAGCCTTCATCTCAGTTTGCTTACCTGCAAAATGTGGGTGGTAGACCAGATGGCTGGTCCATTTAGGGCTGTACCTGTTGGTCAATAGAACATCATGAACCTGAATCCTAAGAAAGATGCACAAGTACATTAGCAGAATACTGCTAGATCCGTGACTTGCATGACAAAGGTCAAGAGTGCAAAATCCCCTGGACCACCAAGCTCCCAGGCTTTTCTCTTTCTCCATCCTTGTGATGTCTTCCCTCTGGGCTGTGAGTGACATTCTGTTTTGGGGACCACTAGATCAGATGATGGGGAATCTGTGTGTACCCCAAGATGCCAACACCGCCTATGGTGGCTCTTAACATAGTGGTAATTTACCCACTTAGTAGCCCCAGGAGGGCAGCAGCCATCATGTGGATCCATGATGATTATAAAACATTTTATCTTTGTACAAAGTTCTGTACAGCAATCTGTTTAGCAAGTAGCGAAGGACCCGAATCTGACATCAGTATCCGCCTGCAGCGTCACTTCCCTAAGCTGTTCCTAAGCAGTGTGAGTAACACCTAAACACAGTCTCCGGCTGGGGATGTGACTCTGTGGGTAAACCGCCTTTCTCACATGCATGAGTCCTGGGTTCCAGCCTCGGCGTTGCATAAACTGGGCATGGTGGTGCTCACCTGTCATCCCAGCATCCCAGAAGGTTAAAGCAGGAGGATCAGAAGTGCATCCTCACTTTGTAGGAAGTTCAAGCCTAGGTTGGACTCCATGAGAGCTTGTTTCAAGACAAAATATCAATCTCACTTAGTCCCTACACAGCCTTGTGGGTTGTGCTATTCTGATCCTCACATTCTGGGGTTGAAAGGTGAGTGGGGAGAGGGGAGTGAAGAGAGTGGGGAGTGGGTGAGGAGTTGCTCAGAACAGATCAGCTACTTCAAATCCAGCCCCCAACCTTCCCAGACACCCTCAGGTTGCCCTGGATTTCCTGGCACATTCTCAACATTCTCATCTTAGTTGTTCATTCCGTGTTTTTTCCCTTGGTCCTGTCCTCCAACCAGTCCATTGTTATTACGTGTGGCTTTGGTATAAGATGCCTGGGTTGACTTTTGTCTCTGCCCTGGGCAAATTTACCAACTCTATTAGTTTTTATTTTATTTATTTATTTATTTATTTATTTATTTATTTATTTATTTTTACCTGATGGCTACATACATGCGCACTGCTTGGACCCACAGATATGAAGGAAACTTCTGGCAGAGAGCCAAACGACTGTGCAAGCCACCCTGGTTGCCAAGAAGGAGCTGTCCCCCACACCGACTTGAGGGCTTGGAGCCACGAGGGACCCGTGGGAAGGCTTCATCTTTCCCTGGCGGCGAATCCAGGCAAGAAGAGCAAAGGCACCGGGCCATAGCATTTATGTTGGGACAGGAGTAAGTGGGAAGGTGTCAGGTAGATCCAGAGGAGTCACATCTATCAAGGGACATGATGAGCTTTCTGTCTGTGAGACAATCAGCCTCAGTCTATGGAAATGACATAGGGCAAGACTTCAAGATGCCAGTCTGGGCAGTGCAAACATATCCTTGGGCCTGGTGACCACAGGCCGAGTAAGGGATGGGTTCCCTTGGGGTCTGGGAATGTGTTCACTAAGAGCCCTGGTGCTCCCACCTCCCGTGTCTGTAGACAGGAAGAGAGCTCAGTTCTTTGCACAATGCCATCATTGTAAGGCTCCAGGGAGGGGGCAGAAGAGGCTGTGGTTGGTGTCAGAGCCCCTGGGCAGGTATGATGGTTCTGTGAGAGGAACTCTCAGAGGCCGCTTCCTGGGAAAGAGATGTTTCAAGCTCTCATCCCGGAGCAGCTAGGGCAAGTCAGTGAACTTTCGGAGCTACCAGGTCTCCTCCCTTTCACCCAGAAGTGATGACTCCAGCCTTGGTCTTTCTTGAAGAGGCTTGACTGGAAAGAATGGAGCCGCCTGTGAGAGGCTATGGGGCCCATCTGGCCAGCAGCATCTCAATTACCACATCTTTGTGTCTGGTTGTTGACTGGTTGGTTCAAGGGCTGACCCTGGGCTTTGCCCTTAGGACCCTTGTGGGGCATTTACTCCTCCATCTCTGTGTAGCCACAGCACCCCCTACAGGCAAATGGCACTTGCTCCACCCCTCCTCCCCCCTTACCCTGTCCTCCAAGTCTTCTCTCCATGTAGAGAGGAAGATGAGGCCTATTGTTTTGCGGTTCAGAATCAATCCAGTGTAGGTATTCACTGTTCCTGCTGGATGGCCAGCTGCAGATGGCAAAGTGTTGTTTTTGTTAAAGAATCTCAAGGGAGAGAGGCTGGGCTGCAGAAGGGTAAAGGAATCCAACTCGTTCTTTCTCCGTTGCCCATGGCACTCACATTTGTCCACATCCCTTTGTTCCTTACCCACTGAAATTGGCTACCGTGCTGGGTGATGCCTTCTGTGGAAGACATCTCAGAGCTACACTCGGTTTTGTCTGTATATAGAACAAGAGAAGTCTTCCATACGAGGGCCATGGGATACTGTGCAACAGTGCTTTCTCAGTGGGCCTTCATATGACACTATTGATGGCATCTGTGCTTTCTAGACTCTTAGGACATGCCTCTTCCCGTTCCTTGAGAGATTCTTCAACTTGCTTCCTAATGGTTGGAAACCTAGATCTCAGAGCAGTGGAAGCTGAGGAGCTCTAGTCAGAGGAGTCCTACGTTCAAGTGACCCCATGTAGGAGCCGTGGCCCCTACTGTCTGACTCTTCATTCCTTGGCTTCACATGTTCCCATCAGGGTTTGGTTCTAGGGTTTCCCTTCATGTGGCACCGAGCTGCAGGAACACCCCTGATTGGACTCTGCTAATGAGCTGTCGGGGAGTTCATGGTCACGACTGTCTATGAGCAAGAGGTTGCCAAGAGTCACAGGTCAAACAAATGGAACCCCACGGTGACTAGAACCCATGCTGATAGGACAGACATGAAGCCACTTTCCTGAGTCTTGGTAGGAGGTTCCCTTTGGAGACCAGGGACTTTTTCTGGAAAGTGGGTGTGGCTTTCTGGCTGGGTATCGGGCATATGGAGGAGACTGACCCGGAAGGAGGAGAGTGTAGGAGCTGCCATTCGGGGTGGTCTAGTTAAGGGTGTATCATCATTGATCGTGCCTATTGGATATAGGAAGCTTGTACTGCTTCCATATATAATTCTATCACAAGCCACAGTTCTCCCAGGCAACCCTGGAGCCTCATGCCCCACAAAGGTTCAGAGAGAAGCTTCTTCCTGTTCTCCCAGCCCCATGATTCTAGTTTCTTTAGCCTGTCGCCTCATTTTCTCGGTACCTGCCTCCATTTTCAAATCACTTCACCTTCATGCCACCTTGGTAGAACCACCTCACCTTTTTTCTTATAAGGACACCTGTCATTGGGTACAGCGTCCTCGCTAAACTTAGGGTCACCTCATCTTAGGAACCCAGAATTAATGAGATCTGTAGATCACCAACATCATTTTCACAGATCCCCAGGGTTGTTCACCCCAGTCCAACCCCACAAGTGATTGTGGATGTCCTTCTGAAGAACAAAGGTCACACGGTCATCAGTGAGCAGAGGAGCACATCACCTGGGGTCTCCTTGATAATAAAGACATTTGGCAGAACATTCCAATTAGCCCAAGCCATGAAAACAGAATCACAAAGCTGGGGAGATTGCACAGTAGGTAAAGTGCTTGCTGGGTAAGGGTTGAGGCCTGAGTTCAGTCCCAAATACCCAAAGGAAAGTCAGGCATGTAATCTCAGCACTAGGGAGGTGGACACAGGAAAATCTCTGGGGTTCACTGAGAAGCCAGTTTCACCAAATTGATGAGCAACAGGTTCAATGAGAGACCCTGTGTCAAAACAATAATGTGGAAAAAGTAACTGCGGGGGTTCTTGATGTTGACTTCAGGCTTCTACTAAAATTAACACACAAACACACGCATACCACACACACCACACACATCCTACACACACACACACCACACACATACCATAGACACACACCACACACACCACACACACCACACACACACATACCATACACACACACACCACACACACCACACACACACACCACACACACACCACACACATACCATACACACACCACACACACCACACACATACCATACACACACACCACACACACACACTCACACTCACACACACACTCACACACACACACACACAGACACACACACACACATATACCATACACACACACATACCATACACACACACCACACACACACACTCACACTCACACACACACTCACACACTCACACACACAGACACACACACACTCACACATTCACACTCACACACACAGACACACACACACACACATATACCATACACACACACATACCATACACACACACCACACACACACACACATACCGTACACATACTCACACACTCACACACTCACACTCACACACACACACACTCACACACTCACACTCATACTCACACTCACACACACAGAGTACCCACTTCCATACTTTTGGATGCAGAATTTTCAGACTTCAGGAAGCATCCCTCTCAGTAGCCATGGGACATATCAGTGTCCCTTTAAAGAGAAGGCTGGGGGACTGACTGGTTTGGAGAGCCATCGGTGGGGCCTCTGCAAGTGGCTTTGTGGGCTTTGTAGACATTTAACTCCCCTACAGTGTGCCTAGCCTTACCCTCTGGCCCCAGCCATGGGACTATGTAAGCCCAAGAAAAGAGCACCTATGCTCTATAGTCCTTCCCAGGCACATCTGGGAAGTGCTGGCCCTGTTCATGAGGCATGAGATAGAGATGTGGGGTCTTAGGATGATCAGATGGCCTTAGAGGGCCATCTCTTTCATCTCTTTAAAAGCTCCTCTCAACCCAGCAGGATGTCTGAGAGGCCCAGGCATCCCCTCACATCCTCCACTTGGGGGGTACTCTACACTCTACAGTCCAAACTCAACAGTATCCCTCCATGGCTTTGGCACAGTTCCAAGAACAAAGCTGTGAGCTAATGAATAAGGACCAGGTCTCAACAGAAACCAATCCCAAGGATGGAGAGTGCTAAGTTAATTTTTCAGTGGGAACCCAGCTCCCAGCTTGCACCCCATGTACACAATAGTACCTTGAACAGCCTGCAGGGCTCTCGGTTATCTGATGTCTCTTGTTTGATATTTGAGCAGCAGGATGGGGTCCCTACTGCCCATTTTCAAAGGAAGAACTGGAAACATGGCCACTGCAGGGCAGGTGCAAGCCTGCAGGGCAAGGTCTGCACACTGACCTGGGAAGAATTAATCATTGTGTGTCTTTATTGAAGTGTCAGAGGGGGCCTTAGAAAAGGGTGGCAGGGCAGCACAGCAAGCTGGGGTTGACAGAGTGTGATGGACACCTGAGTTAGAAGATGAGAAAGCATGTCAAAACAGACACCGTTTGGAAACCAAAGGGCCAAAGGGCTTCATCACTGCTGCTGTCAGTGTGACCGTCTAGAGAAGGGAAAGGCACTCAGCAGTGAAGGGTGTGGAAGACAAATGCTCTGACTTCAAAGGAAGCCAGGATGGGCCTTGGTGGTCCGCCATTTATAAATGACGGACCATGCCGAGTGTCCTGGACAGAGTGGGTGCTGGAGAGACCTGAGCTGATGGCTAGTGATCAAGATGGCTTGGGAGTATGCCTGTCAATATGCATGCAACTGTGGTGTGTGAGTGCTTGCAACTGTATTGTGATTGTGTTTGTAACTGTAACTGTGTGTACCTCTGACTGTGCATGTCTGTGGCTGTGTGTACCTGTGATTGTGTGCATACCTTTGGTTGTGTGGGCCTGCAATTGTACATACCTGCAACTGTGTTTACCTGTGACTGACTGTGTGTGTGTCTGTTTGAGGGTGAGCAAGGAGGAGCTGTATCCCAGGGCAGAACAATATGTGGCAATTAGTTGCAGGCAGTCCAAGAGGCTGTAATTGGAGAAAGTTGATGGAATCAAAAAAAGAAATTGAGAATCCCATTACTTTGGGATGAAAGATTTGCTGGTTCTAAGGCAGAAAAACCATGGGTTCTTTCCCTGGAGGCTCCCCAAAACCAGACATTTCCAAACACTGGTGAAGAGCATGGATATCCAAGAATAGTTAGATTTAATATTTTTTCTTTGTTTTTTTTTGAAGACTCTTCCTGTCAATAATTTAGGATGAGACAGAGTGAGAGGGTGTTTTTAAAAAATATTTTTAAAGATGTTTGATTTCTCTCTAAACCATTCCAATAACTTGGAGCTAATCATTCAGGTTAACAGATGGTGTGGGATGGATGAAGCCATCTGCAAGCAGAGGGCCAGGGAACTTACAAAGGGTGGAGGCCCAAGGCACACCATTCTACACTGATTCTAGGCTGTGAAATACTCATGGGAACAGAGCCTTTTTCTTTTTAATTTCTTAAACCCAAACCCAATATTACCTCAGCCAACTTTTGAGCAAGGGAAGGAGGGCTCTAGAAATTTCTAGGTAGATACAAGACTTTCCAGGCCTTCTAGTAGTACAATAACTGTGAATACTCTGTGTGTGTGTGTGTGTGTGTGTGTGTGTGTGTGTGTGTGTGTGTGTGTGTGTTTGCGTGCGCGTACGCGTGTTTATCCAATCACAGGAAAGTCATGTAGATTTAATCTAGCAGGCTTGAACTACCTCATTCAAAAGACTGCTTTTTAAATAGCAAGTCACTGAATATCCCAAGAAAGCAAATGTCTACCTTATAATCCAGATGGTTGGGGTGCCACCAGATGGTTGGGGGTGCCCCAACCATGAGGGTGGCTGCTTAGCTTGGAACAGGGGAACCTCCCCAGCTCCCCTAATAAGCTAAATGCTGGCAAACCTAGCCCCATCTCTCTCCTTCCTCTATTCCTCCTTCCGTCTGCCCCACCATTCTCTCTTCCCTGCTCCCTCCTACTTTCCTTCTTGCTTCTTCACACCCCTCTGCCTCTCCTCCTTGTCTCCATCCTGCACTCACAATAGATACACCTTCTGCTGTTTCAGTCACCTAGCATGGTGGAAAGCTTAAGTGGAAACTTCTAGAAATAAATAATTTGTAAGTTTTCAGCCACTTTTATAACATTATATTGCTATAAATATTCAACCTTGTTTCTAGTTAATCTCTTTACGGACCTAATTTATAAACCGAACACTATTGTAGGCAATGGCGTCCAGGTAAGCACAGAGTCTCTTTGGGGCTTGGAACTGTTTGGAGTCCTGGTTACCCATGGTGGGTCTTGTCACATAGTCCCTGTGAGTAAGGGGACAGCTGCGAATTGATTGTTAAGTGAAAATTACAGCCAGAATGTTGAAGGTCGTGGAGCTGATGGAAGCGGCCGTGGGAAGTCCGCTTCATTCACACTCATGGGGGGGTTAGGCCAGGTGAAAAGCGAACAGGAGAAATCCAACAAGGATGACAGTGGGGAGAGAAACTCAGGGGTCTCAGGCTGAAAGGAAGCACCTCTAAGAAACTGATGAAATCCTGTAATGTATTTATGAAGGGGGAAAAAAAACCCTGCATCCTTCTAAGGGCGCTTGCTATGGAAGTCAATTGAAAGTGAAGGCAGCCCCTTGGGCACCTCATAGTTAGGTGTCAAAACAGCTCCACATCCATCAATGCCTAATTGGCTCTTATTGATATTCCTAGTTAATGCAGAACTTGCTGTTATAACCTCTAATAGTGGGATTACTTTTATTTTATCTTTGTGGGCTTATCATTTTAGTTTTTTGTTTCTATTTTAACTTTATGCTTCATTGTTTTTCAGTACAAATTATGGAAGTTATTAAATCTTTTCTACATACAGTGAGATCTTGGCCCCCATTGTTCATTAACGTATCTTAGGTGCTATCTCAGTGGCCATGACCTTGGACTGGCCATGCTGGTGGCCTCTGTCTTCAGTTGCCTAATTCTGTGGTAAGCTCTTCCACTGAGCAAATACTTGAACACAGTGCCTTCTATCAGCTGAACGTCATCTGATGGTACAGTCTGAACCTAGTTCCAAGACCTTTAACACTGACCAGGAAGGACTGGGGGTGTAACCCAACAGTCAAGCAAGTATGAGGCCTCGGATTGGATCCCCAGCACAACAATAGTAAATAAATAGATAAATATAAATGAATAAATGAAGTCAAACCAGACATAGTGGCATATGCCTGTAATCCCAGCACTCGGGAATTGGAGGTAGTTGAACCAGGGATTCAAGACTATCCTTGGCTGTATAGCCAGTTTGGGGCCAGCCTGGGATACAGGAGAGCGTGCCTCCAATAAATAAATAATCGCTATGTCAGTAAAATTGAATAAGACCAAGTATAGGCTTGGATATTTGGTTTCTGGTTGTGCTTTCAAGTTGTGTCAATCATGAAAGAATTCATACAGCAGGTGTCTAGTCAGGCAGTGGCAGAGCGGCATAATTCAATTTCATAGAATCATAATCTTCAATCTTAGGGCACATCAGCTGTCACCTCATTTTTTTTCAGAGGAAAACTCTGGAGAGATGAAGGTAGCTAGCGCTGGTCTGTGAATGCATCTTTCATCTACTTTAGTCCCCTCCTACACTGTAGTGGGGCCCAGAGTCTGAAAGGGTGGGCTTATCCTTTCCAAAAACCAGCCCCTAAGGCAAAATAAATAAATAATCACCCATAATGAAAATTATCTGTGAAAATCCATTCTTGGGTATGAACTGTGTGCACACGTGAAAAGCAGAAATATCCACAGATAGTGTGTTGGCAGATGAGCTAAAAGAAAGGGAAAGGCCATACTGCCACCCACCCACCTGAGTGGTTCTGAAACTAAGCAGTAAATCCAGGCACAGAAGACAGAGTGGTGCGGAGGTCTCAGGTGTCCTGCTTTTGGTTTTAGCACTAAGCCTCAGAAAGGCCTGTGACATCTTAGTGGAGTGGCTTGTTGTGATGGGGATTAGGCAAGATAATAGAGTTGTGGCCTTCCTGGGTCAGGGGAAGGTGAGCCAAAGGTGTCCCTGTGACAACGTCATTTACATGCATATGTGATGGGGACCAGCCTGCTCCCTGCACACCTGAGTCTTCTTACCAGCTTGGAGACAGGGGGGCAGTTTTCCACCAAGTACCAGCTTGAACCAGCTGGAACTGGTTAGCTCAAGACTGACCTTTCAACGCCATGGAGGAAGTTCACCAACTAAACCTTGTTCTGAAAATGATTCTCCCGCTGTGTTTCCCAAGTAGGGGTCTCGCTTGAGACGCACCGCAGGCACAGCTTGTGTGTACACGCGAGCATCCAACCACAGGCTCTTGTGTTTTATTCCCATTAGGAAAAGCAACTGAAGGGGTAGGGAGAAGACTCAGTCAGTGAAGTGCCTGAGGACCTGAGTTGGTTTCCCAGCATGCACCTCAGTCAACTTGCTCTTGTCTGTAACTCCAGCTTTGGGGATCTGAAACCCCCTTCTGGCCTCTGCAGACACCTGCACTTATGTGCACAAACCCTTACACAGACTCACAGCAATTTTTTTTTCCTTTTGAAAAGCTGGGTGTGGTAGGGTGCACGTACCCCAGTGCTGGGGAGGTAGAGACAGGAAGATCTCTGGGGCTCACTGGCCAGTCAGCCTAAATAGGGTCCAACATTGTCTCAAAAGAGACTGGACAATACCCCAGGGTGACCTCTGGCCTTCTGGGGCGTGCACACATGCACACAGAAAGGAAGAAAAAGAAAAGAAGAAAAGCAACAGAAAACCCCATGAATCTGTCCAAACAAAGGGTGCCCCCCCCCACGGCGAGGCTGTAGGTGTGTTTTGCACAGTGCACAGCTTTGATATGCGGTACCCTGGCTCTCAGAGCATAATGGGGGGAGGTGGAGATGGGTGCCATCTCCCTGGGACTTGTTTGCATTTCCAGTGGGACATTTTCTTCTCAGAGAGCTGGAAACGAAGCTGTTTCCAGTCTCATTAACATTCGCCTAATATCACAGTTATTGACCCAGGGCTGCAAAAAGAATCTGGTAATTAGCTTGGCCCCGTTGTCATGTTTCTGAGCGCATCTCTTGAATGGATGACACATCCGCTTTGATTATTATTATTATTATTGAGATTCCTTGCATAAAAAGGCCTTTTCCATTAAGTGAGCCCTGTCCTGTTTACTCTGGAGTTGGAGCTGGGGTACATTAGAATGTTCTGTGGTAGAAAGAGTACACTTATATTTCCTTAGAAACGGGTTTTGCGGAAGCAAAGGGAGAACATTGATGTAATGGAGGTTAATTATTCAAGTTGTTTTTTTTTCCTTTTTTTCTGGGTGGATTGGAAGGCCTGCTGCTCTTCTCAGTATACAGACTAAAATTGGAACACTGAAGAGGAACCCAGTGTGGCCCTGTGCCCGATGACACATCTGAAGTCATAGTGATTGAAGGAGATGTTTTATGGAATGATAAGAAGTACATTGGGTTTATGGGCTGCATTTCCGGCAGTCGTCATGGCTTGCGGCAGTAAACATGGTGATGTTCTCGCTGTCTCTCTAAAGGGAGTCTTTAGCAAACACTCTCAGAATTAAGCTTAGGAAGCAGCCTCTGCAGTCTAGAAGGCTCATCTGTGTCTATACCTCTGGGCAAACTTGGGAGGAAGAACTCTTGTCCTCATTGTGCAGATAAGGAAACTGAGGCTCAGAGAAGTGTGTCTAGCAACCTGCAATGCAATCACTCAGATGAGAAATCGGGTGGACCTCATAACAGTGGGCTTTACTCAGTTCACACCATTCCTGTGTGCCTTCAGAAATGGTGTTGAACCCGGGTGGGTGGTGTGGGTGGTAACACACACTAGTAATCCCAGATCTGGGGAGGCAGAGGCAGTAGGATTAGTTCTAGTTTGACTATGGACACTGTCTCAAAAAGCAACAAAACAAAAAACAAAAATCAATGATGACAAAGCCAAAACCACTTTAATCCCAGCACTTGGGGGGCAGAGACAGGCAGATCTCTGTGGATTCAAGACCAGACTGGTCTTGTTCCAGGACAGCCTCCAAAGCCACACAGAAACCCTGACTCGAAAAACAAAACAAACACACAAATAAAAACAAACAAAAAAAACCCAAAATCCTGCTCCCCATTTCAGCAAGTGGAGAACTAATATGACATGCCCTAGGCAGTGTGACAAAGGTAATAACACTATCTTCTGAACGAGGTGTTCATGAATACATTGCAGCCAGAGTCCTGTGAGCTCAGCCCATGAGCTTAAGTTGCACTGTGCCTATGAAGAAATTTGTTAGGGTGGGAAGCATCGGAGACCGGTTGAGATCTTTTTGTAGATCTGAATGTTAAGAAGAAATAGGATGGTGTGGCAGGAGAGGAGGGTAAGAGAGGGGCCAAATTAGTATATGAAAACATTCCTGTTGGCAGAGAAACACTGCCTCCCCACAAACAAGGCTCTCAGGAACAGAGATGAGCAGAAAAAATATTTGCTGTGATAATGAAGCCAAAGTGGGTCCCAGTCTTTTCAATAGCACCTGCCATCAAGCCTCAGACATGTCACCTGTAATGAAACTTCCCTGTGTCTGCTACTCTCCAAGTGTCCTGGGTCCAATTTTCCTTGTTCTGGATACAGGGATCTGGAAGTGACATTGTGTGCCTCCTGCACCCCAATTCCTGCATGTAACACTGGTGATGCTCACCAGGTACATACATTCAGATGGATCTGAAGGGAGCTAGAGTTGAGACCTTGTCTTCCAATTGAGAGAGAGAGAGAGACAGAGAGACATGGAAGAGAAGGAGAGAGATAAGAGAGAAGAAAGAGGAGAGGAGAGAGAAGAGAGAGAGAGAGAGAGAGAGAGAGAGAGAGAGAGAGAGATGATTTCTTCTTAATGACTTCCACAGCCATGGTACCACCTCCAAAATGCTGTAATAGAATAATTGAGACTAAGCTTGGGCAGCACACCGCCATCCACACCTCCTATAGGGAAAGCAGAGCTTGGAGAATGACAGAGTAGTCCCGAGGGATCGTGTGGTGCTGGTATGGAGGCCAGAAGTTGATGTTAGGTCTCTATCCCAATTGTTTGCCACCTTATTTTTAAGACAGGGCTAATCACTGAAGATTCAGCTAGGCTGGCCAGCCAGAGTGTTGCCCATCTCTGCCTTTCTGGAGCTGGGACAGAAGGTGCAGGCTGCTATGCATGGCTTCTGCTTGTGTGCAGAGATGAACTCTGGTCCTGCAGTTGTGTGGTAACCATCCAGCCGCCCCTCAGCCTCATGCTGCAGTTTCAGTATTGCTTGATAACTCATCTCAGTATGCATTACAAGATCCCTTTGCCCCATCATCTCATCCAGCTGTGTGCTCTGACCCCGGCGATGTGGGGCATGCTGCCCTAGGAACCCATAAGCCCCAGGCCTCTCTGCTTGCTTCTCCCAGGCCTTCTCCCCACACCTCAGAGCTGTGAACGTCATCACAGGCAGAACCCAGGAGCTTTTCTCTGAGATCTGTTTAGATCTCAGAGAAGTTTTTCCTGAGAAAACTTGAAGTCCACTGGGCACAATTTGATGTTCTTTCCAAATATTAATTGGTTTGTTCCCCAGCAGAAGCATGGCGATGTCTCAGCCCTGCTCAGGGACAGCCTTGTCACTGCTAAGGACACAGAGCCACACAGGACTTCCTCTGTGCCTGGCCAATTCATTAGACCCGGTTAGCAATTTGCAAAAGAGATTAATTGATTTGCAGGCTGCTGAGCCCTGAGTGTTAGTCAGCTCCCTCCTGGCAGTAAGCTCAGAGAAGCACTGTCCACCCCTGGGAACCCAAGATGGCCGACAGCAATATGGAAGGCTGTGGACAAAGATTGGGGGTAGTGGCAGCTTCATTTATCATCATAAACCATGGCTGTCTCAGTCCCTTCTGGGTCAGGGTTGTATGTAGGGCCCACAGTAGGGACTTCTGGGATAAAATGAGAAGGCTGGCCACAGAAAATGTGGATTTCTTAACTTTTTTTTTTTTTTTTTTCTGGCGCACGTGTGTGTGTGTGGGGGGGGAGGATGAGGAGGAAGTCAGAGGGCTCTCAGATCCCCTAGAGATGGAGCCCTGCTGTGGTGGGTGTTGGGATTTGAACTCTGGTCCTCTGCCACAACAGTACGTGCTCCTAACCACTGAGCCATCCTTCCAGCCCTCTCCAACATTTTTTTTTTTTTTTTGAGTTAGGCTGACTGACTAACCAGAAATTCCCCCTCGAATTCTCATCTCTCTACCTTCACATTGGCATTTTTATGGGAGTTCAGAAAGAACTCAGGGCTTCATGGTTGAGGGACAAGCACCAATGGACAGACTGAACCATCATCTCCCAAGCCATTTAAGGCTTTTCTTGTCCTGTTGTCTTATTTTTGAACACTGTACATTGTATACCTGTGTTAGGAAGATTCCATTGCGAGGAAAGCAGACTTGATCAGTTTGTCTACACACACACACACACACACACACACACACACACACACACAGGACAAGAGAAGGAAGGAACCATTATCTTATGTAGAAGGAAAATAACAAAATGGCTTCTGCTTTGTCCTGGTCCAGCTTCTACTGATGCTTGCTGGACTCGGTTACTTTGTCTCTAGGCAGCAGGGACATCCACAGCCTCCCTGTGCTTCTGTGACCTCTGCTGCTGCTTGTCCCTGCCCAAGTCCCAGGTCTAGACATTAATCTAGCCACTGAGATATTGCGGGGCCAGCCCTGTGGATTTAGTCACCTCTGTGGAGCTGTTGAGAGTAAGAGACGGTTGCCTAAAAGTGGACAAGAGTCGTTGTTCATCCATACCAACTTGGGGATAGTGTCTCACCCCTAGGTTAATGCAAGGAAGGTGTTCTTATGAGCAGGTGCGTGCCTTGACACCCCATGAGATGGTGGA